GCCAGCAGCCTTTGGGGCTCTTGTGCCGTCTCAAAAATCGGCCGCTGCGCGGAGCTGTAAGAATTTGACCTCTTGCAAGCACCCGCTCGCCGGAAGGGGAGAGGGCGCCTCTTCTGGCGCTCTGTGTGCATTGTGCCTGTTTTCAGTGTGCTTGCAACTTCCTTGCCAACCCGAAAAAGAGTCCTGAGTGCTATTGCTACGGCCCTGGCGCTTGTGTGGGGACTGTCTCTACGGACGCGTTGAGCAGTTTAGGTGACGGAGGTTCCTTACCTTACGGCCTACCCAGACTTTCGCTTAATGTCTGTACCAGACGTGGCGCAGCATTGCTTTGGTGACGGGCAGCTGAGTGATCGGTGCCGGTAGGTTCTTGTTTGCATTGGTCTCACCTCGCTGGTCTTGCGATAAGTTGTCTTGCAATAAGGGCCTCTGCGCTAGCGGTTGCTTCTTTGTAGTCACGACTTCTTTTTCGCTCGCTGGCTTGTACAGTTTGGCTCCTTTTCACCTGTTATGTCGAGCCCAACAAGACCGGCCTACTGCGCTACTGATGTAGTACAGAGGCGTCAGTCCAAAAAAAAAAAGACTTATCAGTTAAGAGAACCATACAGATTTTGCTAGTATTTTGCTGTCTTCTGCACTGCTCATGGGGCGCTCGCGCCGGGTGCAGTACAGGGGTAGCCTCCGCTTCATCTCGAAGCCGCATGCACAGACATGCGCCTGACACGCTATGCAAAGCACTCCTTTGCCGCGTCGGAAGAAGAAGAAGAAGTATTTTCCTTGTGAAGATTTTATGTGGTGGGCTAGTTTGTTTGCCTAGAAGCTTTACAGTCATGTCTCATGTCATGTCGACGCAGCTGTGCTTGTGAGTTTCAAAAGTTTTTATGGTAGCGGAGCGCCTGTGATCCCTTTGGAGCCTTGGATTCACTTGTGCTGGGGGAGGCAGAAACCTTACCTCCTGGGGACCGGAACCCATCCGCATTAGTTGCTGCTGTAGCTTCCTGCCACAGCCTTCGTTCGCCTTAGGCGGTTGCCAGCCTAATCTCCTCGAGACCGTGTGGTCACCTACCGCCACGGAGGTGTCGCCAGAACTTGAGGAGCAAATTCGGTGTTTTCAGCTTTGGGATCACGAGAGGGTACTTAGCAAGCTTCGCAAAACTGTTCTTGAGTGGTACATTGAGTATCAGATTGGCAAGCCTTGGGCTTGGTACTCTTGAGTACAAACCTTTATTTTGAGATAAAAATTTTCACCATGGAATGCGTGAGAAATTTTGGCTTTGCCCGAGAGGGCACTGAGAGTCAGATGAGCAGATTAAAAAGCCCCGAAACCGGGTTGAGCCTCAACAGGTTCGTCTTTCAACGGGCCTCGTGACGAACTGCAATTTGAGCCATGCTAATTTTGCTCCGAGCTAAAGGGAGTTACTCGTGCACCCAGCTGGGAAAGACACTCCATGTTTGTTTTGCGGTTTTCTCTGTATTTGAGGTGACCAGTATCTGCATGTTTTGTGAGCGCCTCAGACTGTCGGGCACCTCAGTGTGATTCGAGCGAGCTTCCTTGCTTGATCTCACTCAGTGTATCGGTACTTTGCATGGACATGACATCTCTTGTTGTAGTAGCACAGAGTGCATGTTCTGCGAGTACTTCGAGAAGTTTGCGCCTCAGTGTCATTGGAGCAAGTCTCTTGCTTTGGCCCATTGTACATGGATGTTGTCCTGGAGGACCTTCTCGAGACAGTATGGTGCACATGCGAGGAGAAACCATGACAGGTTTCAAACCAAACCAGGCATTCGTTGCATTGCCATGACAAAGGAGATGCTTTCATGACTTTGCCAGGTGACTAGGTACCCGCTGCCAGTGCTGTTAACGTCTCGCTCTCGTCTTCTCAAGATTTTGGTCCAAGAACTTGTAAAATCCATGCCGTGGCATTACATGCTGCGGCGTTTGATCACATGCGTGAAGGATTGACGGAATTTTTGCAGGAACAGGTTCTCGAGGACTTCGGCATGCTCGACCCCAAAAGATTTGGATTTGCCAGGCTCGTCGATCGTGCCCAACATAGAGCTCAACGATGTGACACACCGGAAGCTCTCGTCAGCCTGGCGTTGCAGGACCAGGCCTTCTTACACTTGTATGTTGAAGACCCAAATCCTCCTCATCATCTTCCTTGGTCTGCAGTCACATCAACAGTGTGGCCTCAGCATGAAACCACAGATGCCGCACCCCCATGGACTGAACAAGTGCGTAGAGCGAATGGTGAATGTGAATCTTTTGTCCACCAAGAATTTTCTTTGGACATTTCCCGTCCCGGGTCAAGCACCACAGGGACGCACGATTCAAATGTGCGCATCACCGAGCGTGTTACGGAGAATCATAGCCTCTGGCATCTACAAGCGAATCCAGGTGGCTGCATTGACATCGATTGACTTTCTTGCATGACTGAAAACATGGTGGAGTGCGCTTGCTTGCTGCAGTATTCGTTAGGACTGTCAAGCGTTGCCGCCCCGTAGTGTTTTTCAGGCTTTTATGCCTGCCTTTCGGCGCTACGGCAGCTGTGCACTCTTTTATCCGAGTTTCCCTTGCCTTGTGCCACATCGGGAACGTCCTTTTTCGATTACCCCTGACCGCCTATGACGATGATTTCGCTCTTTTCAGCAGCGAGGAGCTTCGTAACTCTACCTCGACAACCGTCGACATCATGTTTTCCTTGTTAGGTTTCGATTTCGACCGAGACGGTGATAAGGCGCAGGACCTTCACACGACTTTCAGAGCACTGGGAGTGCAATTCTCATGCCTGGAGGATGCGGATCGGACCGTTCTCGTTTCAAACACAGAAGAAAGACTTCAAGATGCAGTGGAAAGGATCCAGGAAATCATCGAGTCGGATTCACTCACCCCCAAATTGTGGGCGAAAGTGCGCGGTCGCTTGGGTTTCATGAGCGGGCAGATCGCCAGCAGACTACCACGAGCACTGTTGCAGGCAGTGACCGTGGCCGTTTCAGCTGCAGGGACGGACCGCGGGGAAGTAGCCACGGCCCTACCGAGAGTTTTGGAGTTCTTGAAGGGTGCGCAACCCAGGCGGCTAAGACCAGCGCTACGAGATGTCATCTTCGTTTACACTGATGCGTCCCAGGAGGGAGTAGACAATCTTGACATGGGGCTTGGAGCAGTGGTTCAGGATCACGAAGGAACCATCTTGGGGTGGTTTGGACTCATGCTCCCCCGTGACGTTGCCGAGGATGTCTTACGTGACGGGAATAAGTGCATCAATGAGTTAGAGAGTCTAACTGTGGCATTGACTGTTCGTCTCTGCGCGGCCATATTGCTACAGCGGCACGTGGTATTCTATCTCGATAACGAGGCAGCCAGAGTGACATTGCTTCGGATGCAAAGTGAGAATGCCATGCTTGATGCAGTGGCCAAGATCTCAGCTGTCCACGAAGCCGAGCTGTCCTGCATTCCATGGTATGCACGTGTACCGTCGCGCAGCAACATAGCTGATGCGCCAAGTAAGTTCTGACCAAGTACGTCAGCCAGCACGCAATGGCGCTGCAGCTGTTGGAGGCGGACAGAAGTTGGGTTCTCTGGATGGACTCTGGAGCGCTGGGCATCATACCCCAACTGGTCAAGACCACGGCCACTTGGAAGGAGAGCCGAGAGCAAAACAAGTGCACCTGCAGCCTACGCCAGGCTCTCCTCGGAGCACTCCTGCTGGAGCTGCAGGCCCGGCTTGCAAGAATGGAAGGCGACAAGGCAGCACAGGCGCCGCTCATTCAGAAGAAGATGCTCGTCGCGGAACCAATGGCGTGGACGTACACGCGCTGGAATCCGGAAAAGAAGCTTCAGGAGCCCAGGGAGGGCAACGCAAAGGAAGCGGTCCAATTGCTGATGAGGGAAGTCATCAAGCCCAATGTCATTCAGAGATTCCATGCCCTAGGAGGGGTCAAGGAAGACAGGCCAGGAGCCACGACGTTCGTGCTGACAGTCTCCCTGGATGCCGAAGCCCGGCCCAACATCAACAAAGCGCTGCAGGCCCTCACGGAGTCCGCGGCCACCACGCTCATCGGTGCACGGATCCGCCCGGAGAGGAGTCACAAGCCACTGCCGAAGGACCTACAGCAGGCCATCGACGCAACGAGGAGGCATTGAGACCTTCTCGCCAAAGTATTTTTACTAGTAAAGGCACGTTGGGTTTGGAGCGTCTTCCAGAGGGTGTGTTACACCGTGATCTCGCAAAAAACACATGTCCCGGGAAGCTGCATCACGGCCCCAATACCCCCGTCAAACATAGTGATAGAGGTCCAAATTCAGGGAGATCACGGAGCATAGGGGAATGGCTGAAGGGGACAGGTCAGCCAGCACAGGAGGCGGACGCCAAATCCCGCAGCCAGGGGAAATCCGAATGCCAGGAGAAAAAAGACGCCGTCACACCGTGCCAGTTGCAGCATCATCATTGTGTGCTGGAAAACCCGTCAAACCTTTGCTACCTCAACTCCATGGTCCAAGCACTACTGCACTCTTTTGGCCAGGTGAAGGCGACAGACAGGGCTGGCTTCGGCAGCCTGCGCCCCATGCTCAATGCACTGACAAAATGTGCCAAGCCCCAACAGCTGAGCCGAAGGAGTGATTGTATGAAGCTCCTACAGGGATGGCAAGGCCTTCACCAACAACATGATGCCGCGGAACTGCTGCAGCATCTCACAAAGGACGGGGTCCCTAGAATCTTGGCGGGAAGATGGGAGTCAAGAGTATCTGGAGTTAGTGAGCACGAGCCGGCCATAGTCCGGGCATGGAATACGGCTGTGCCGTTAATCCCTCTGCCCTGCACCGGACAGGCCACGACGCAGCTAGCACTGAACTCATGGACTGCGCAGCCGGGACCTCGCCACGAGGCATATGTGACAGCACTGGCAGAGGCTCCTGAGATACTCAGCGTTCAGCTCTTGCCTGTTCTTCATTCCTGGGAGTTCAGATGAGGGCTATGGCGGGGGAGGTGGGGGTCTGTGCCATGTTGACGACCTTTTCGCAGTTGGAGCCGATGCAAGAATGTGTGAAGGCCAAGTACCGATGCACGATTTCCTTCTTGAAGCAGCCTGGTGATGAGATCAACTTCTTGAAGAGGAAGCGCAAGTGGGCATTGAATGACGTGCTAGCCATCATGCCCACCCCGAAGCATGTAGAAGGTCTTGCTGTGTTGCTTGGTGTTTGTGCGCAACGTCCTAAGGACAGTCCCTTGCCCGCAGGCGGAACCCTTCCGCTGTGGACACAGCTTGCACCCCTTGACGATGTCAGGTCAGGGATCTACAGAAAGTGCATCGGGGTACTTCTGTATGTGTCCAGCGATTATCCTGCAGCCCAGTTTGGCATAAAGACGCTAAGCAGCATGTGCGGGAAGCCAAACGAAGATGCATGGCGATGCCTCAGGCATCTGGTGAACTATATGTTCTTTCACGAGAATCACATCACTTGCCTTCGGACTGAGGGTAAAGGCACTGGCCTAGTCGTCCGTCATGACACTCACACTTTAGAGGTGTTCGCTGATGCTGATTGGTCAGGGAACCGATCGACAAGAAAGAGCACCAGTGCAGGATGCATTGCCTTTGACGGCATGGTTGTTCACACGTTTTCAAGAAGCCAAAGCTGCGTAAGCCTAAGCAGTGGTGAAAGTGAATATATTGCATGCGTGAGCGCAACATGCGACGGCATCTTCCTTCGTAGCGCCCTTCAACACATCTTACGCACCGATGTGTCCATGCATTTGTTCACAGATTCAAGTGCAGCTCGCGGCATTTTGGGCAGACAGGGATGTGGACGTCTCCGTCACATTTCTGGTCGCCTGTTATGGCTACAGGACTTCCTGTTCAAATGGAAGAAAGCATCGCTCCACGCGGTGCCGACCTTGACAAATCCAGCTGACTTGTTTACAAAGTCTTTGTCAGGGGCCCGTGTCCGCACTTTGAGCCACATCCTTGGGATCCGTGATTCGCATGACGGATTTTCTCTTGTTGAGACGACTGAGTTTGAGGAGCGGCAGCGACGTGAGCAGGCAAAGAAGTTTCTTCGTGCTGTGAGGAGCGCAGGTCGTGGAAATGCCGAGGCGTTGCAATTGCTTGCATTGTTGGTCCAGGTCATGGGCAACAAGGCTACGGATGTTGAAGTGCGAGCACAGTTGTGCCTGACTCGCCAGTGTCAACTGACGAGGATTCGAGCCCGTGGATCAGCTTTGTCTTTGTCGTCGTAGCAACAGTGTGCATTGCGTTCCTGCTTGGCCGTGCCAGTGTCAACTTGAACTTTGCATCCCTTCTGGAGTGGCTTAGGTTTGAAGCAACAGAGGCTCAGCAGCCATTGCTAGCCGAAGCACCTGCTCTTGCAGAAAACCTTGATGTGCTTTCTGACGATAGCCGTGAAAGTCTTGGTTTACAGCGTTACTCACCGCGAACTCGTGCAGAGATCCTCGGTCGGTCACCGCCTGTGACACCGAGTGAATCTGAATTTGAATCTGAGCAGCCAGACTCAGAGCCGGTTGGTGACGCCGCAACTATTCCTGTGATTCCAGCTGGTCAGACAGCTAACATGCAGCAGCCTGCATTGCTGCAGGATGATGACATCCTTCGGGTGAGGGAAGATGCTGATGTATGGATTGCCTCAAGAAGTGGAATCCGCTTTCATCTTCTTAGTGAGTGCGATGGTCTTAGAAGGGCCCGTCAGGTTCGTAGTTTCCTGGTCAGTATGACATGTGTTACTCGTGCCAGTTGTGGACTCGAGAGCTTGCGCGTCGCCAGCACATTGCACGATTGGCCACCATGTACCACATTCTGCATGTGCATGGCCAACAACTGCCAAATCCCATGCTTCAGATCCTTCCAGAGCCCGAGCCGCATGATGATACGTAAATGAGCCCAATCACGATGACCCGCATTTTTTCGTTGCATGTGTGTTTTAATGAAGCAGAAATAGATAGACGCAATTTCTTGAAATGCTCATGATGTCTCTTGTGGATGCAGTCGCTGGCTGGTACCACTGTACCTGAGCTTGTGTGCAAATTTTCTTGAATTGCAGTGGAGTAAACTCAAATCTCTAAGAGATTTGGCAAATTCTGCATGTGGCCGGTAACCTCTCCTTTGCACATCACAGCTGTGTGATGTTGAAAGTTCTTGCAGCTTGCGGAGCTGGCAAGCAAACTCACCTGGAGCCATGAGCTCACAAGGTGCCCAAAGGTCAAAGGTTAGGAGGTGCCTGTAGGCCTGTACAGAGCCCACCAAAATGGTGGCGGCCCTGGAGTGCGGTACGTCCACCCTCGGCAGTAAAGGACAAACCGAGTGTTGCATTGCACTTGCTGATGTGAGGCTTGTTGGCTGTTTCGCTCTGGGCATGTATAGCAGTAGCTCCCACCGAATCGTTCTGAAAGCCTGCTTTGCGTAGCACGGCAAATCATCCTTTGGCGGGGTGATCACGATTTCGATGTCATGCATGGGGACACTCAACCATGTATTTTCCTGTGAAGATTTTATGTGGTGGGATAGTTTGTTTGCCCAGAAGCTTTACAGTCATGTCTCATGTCATGTGCCGACGCAGCTGTGCTCGTGAGTATCAAAAGTTTTCACGCCAGCTTCCCTTTGATGTGCACGATGTCGGACGTGCCACGCTTGTTGCGGCCACACGCGGGAGCATCAAGGCCCATTTAGGGTTTGCCTACTCCTCTCTAGCTCAGTTCCTCGGTAGAATCGAACTCGCTTTGCGTGACGAGACTCAACAGTTGGGAACGCCAGGAGCGAATTGTGTTTTAGCCCACATTAAGCAGGCGCTGGATGTCATGATTGGAGATCATCGTCAGCCGGCAGGAGGGTCTCGCCCCAAATTACCACTTTGTGACAGACCTTCTGGAGCGAAAGAAATGTGGCCTTAATGCCATTCCGGCTGCTCTGTTTACGCTGTCTAGTCTGCCACAAGCGCTACGCAAGCAACTGCAGTACAGCTCAGGACCGTGGAAAAAAGGTCAAGGACCCATGCCTAACTGGGGCAAGTACGCTGAGGGAATCGCCGAAGGGATGTGGCAGCGTCCGATGCCACAGTCCTCGAGACCCTTGGAGCAATGCAGGCTGCAGGGGTCAAGGACATTGTTGGGCATCCGGTGAACATCTCCCTCAGCACCTCGCTCAGACTGCCGCCTGTCATTGTGCCTGGGTCGTGCGAGCCATGCAGCACACATGGAAGGACGTCCTCTTTCGAGATTTATGGCATGAGAGCAAAGGCAACGATCCTTACTTCCGCTCTGCCCACACACGTGGGACGCTGTCACAGTTACAATCAAGAGGCATTAAGCTCGAGGCATTGCCACACGCCGTCTACTGTGTGCTCTTCCAAAATGCAAAGGCTGGAGACGGTGCTGCCCAATACCTTAGGCGTCTCTTTGGAGATACACAGCTGTTGACCCCGCCCAGCAAGGGCAAGACAGCCGCCACCGATGCCCCCTTCGAGCACAAAGCCACCATCAACACCGTGCCGCAGGGCCTTCAGCTGCAACCAATTCGCACTGGGGAGGTGACTGAAACAGCCATCGACGATGAGCCTGACAACCCTGACCGACGCTCAATGGAGGGACAATGGAGGGATGTCAAACTGTGCTGATCCATGGGCCAAAAGGCTTATCAACCGAAACACCGGTAGGTGCGAGCCCTGGGCTACCAGTCAGTACCTGCTGGGGTCCGTCTTGTACCGCCGAAACGGACGGCTCGAGAATCCGGGAATAGTTCCCAGAAGGGAGGTTTCCAGAAGCCCATGTAAAACGCCCCGCCATATTTCGCCCTCGGGTGGAGGGTCTGCGCCCATGGGGGGGCCGGCCGCCTCTTAGGCCCCCGTCAACTCAGCCCTCCCCCTCGAAAAGTAGAGACTCGAGCTCCTAGACCTCCCCACGCTTTTTGGCTGCAATGCACCGCAGCTTTCATTGGAGAACCTGCAGGAGTCCATAATCGGGTACGGCTTCTTGACTACGACACAGTACATTGCAGATCTTTTCTTCGCTGTCTCCGACATCCCGGAAGTCCAGACAGCCAAATTCCCGGCCATGGCTTGCTATGGCTGCTATGGAGATCCGGACTATTGGCTAGGAGGGCTGCTGCTGCACATCAATATGCACCGCCCTCGCGAGCGGGAGGCCTACCAGTTGTTCTGGGCTCTCCGGACAATGATAAAAAGCCGGCTCCTAACGCACAGGACAGACAGGGCAAGATTACAGACCTGCAAGTGAACGTGCCGCCGGCGGCCGCAGTTGCATTGCTTGCTGGCAGAGTCAAAGGCCTACAAGACCCGAGACAGCGTTCAAGCTTGATGAACAGGGATGGCCAATGGTCCAAGGCCAAGTCTCTCCCTTCAGTCTGCAAAAGTGGGCGCGAGCGGCGCGGTCCAGCTCCTTGGAAGCTGCCAGAATTTGCCCAAGACCCGAAAAGTTAGAGTCAAACTCAATGCGCGTCAGGTCCTTGGGCACAGACAATATCAGTCTTTTAATCCGGCAGAAGCTCCGCTCAACTTCTTGGATGCGGTGAAGCGTGCCTTGGCGGCTTGTGTCGCAAATCAGGACATTGAACACTTCTGGGCGACATTTAGATTGGAATGGCCGGATGCCAAAACCAGATCCAATGTCTCCCTTCGCCAAATCCCGCCACTGGACTGTCTGGTGACCAGACCCGCTGCCGAGCCTTCTGCATGGAAGTGCACAGTAGTGCGTCGGAAGAGGAGAGTGACGATACTGATGTACAGGTCAATGATTGGCGTTTTTCGGAGCTGGAAACCACGGACCTTGCAACGCTACGAGAAGTGGACTTGTGCGTTCCTTTCAGATTTCCTTCCATTGACAGTGCGCGTTGGAGGAACTTTGTTTCGTTTCCTACTCGGAGGGCTCCCTTCAAAGGTAAAAGGGAATGGTACGACGCTGTCACGGCGCATTGGGGCTTCCCATATGGGCCTGGCTGCTTCCGCCAACAGGAACAAAGGAGCTTTCAACGGAGCCTGGTCCAAGTTGTACTTCAATCACAATGCTGGCGACCCAGAGCCGGCTATGCTTGTGGCGGTCAGGCAGTTCCCCTTGAGCATGGATGACAACAACACGGTGACTTCTCAGGAAGTTAATGGAGCAATCAAGTGTGGCATGCGGCAAACACGAAGCTTGCGGAATTAGGGACAATCCAAGTCCCTGCTGGCACCCCCCCTTAAGGGGCGGCGCCGGAAGAGTTCTCTGACGAAACTCTGAGATCTGCTTGCAACTACCGTCCCGACAGGGGAGGTGGCGTCCGACACCTCGCCCGAGAAAAGCAGCGCTTCAGTCTTCGTGGCTGCGGAAGCGCCACACAGAATGTCGGAAGCGGCAGGACGCGTGTGTGGCAGTAAGGGCTACTGTCGCAATGACGCCTGGTTTTGTTTCTGGCATGACGTCTGCATTTTGCAGCCTGCACTGCACGCGTCCAAACCGACGGGACTACTTCGACTTCCTCGTGTGCTGAGAAAGGGAAACGTTTCACCTTAGATTTGAGTTCTGGTGTTGCTGCTTTTCCGTTTCTGTTGTTGGTGATGCTCTCTTGGCTTATGTAGCTCTCCGTCTCACCTTGTCGCAATAGACCGGTCCACTGTGCTGCTGATGTGGTAAAGGGGCGTCCGCTTCAAAAAAAAGTGAGGGTGGGAGTGAGGGTTGGAATGCAATCTGAGTGTGCGTGCACGGGTTGATGGAATGCAGACCTAAACGGTGTGTGGCCATCTCAAGTCTCCCGCCCTCCCTCCCCTTCAAAGGGGGACACAGACATAGATATGGATATGGGCGCGGCTTACGATGCTTAGCATTTTCTTGCAACCGTTGCTGCTACGAACGTCGTGGCTCATGATCCTTGCTACGCGCTGACCGAGCAGGTTGGTCTTGAGAAAAGTGAGGGTGGGAGTGAGGGTTGGAATGCAATCTGAGTGTGCGTGCACGGGTTGATGGAATGCAGACCTAAACGGTGTGTGGCCATCTCAAGTCTCCCGCCCTCCCTCCCCTTCAAAGGGGGACACAGACATAGATATGGATATGGGCGCGGCTTACGATGCTTAGCATTTTCTTGCAACCGTTGCTGCTACGAACGTCGTGGCTCATGATCCTTGCTACGCGCTGACCGAGCAGGTTGGTCTTGAGAAAAGTGAGGGTGGGAGTGAGGGTTGGAATGCAATCTGAGTGTGCGTGCACGGGTTGATGGAATGCAGACCTAAACGGTGTGTGGCCATCTCAAGTCTCCCCGCCCTCCCTCCCCTTCAAAGGGGGACACAGACATAGATATGGATATGGGCGCGGCTTACGATGCTTAGCATTTTCTTGCAACCGTTGCTGCTACGAACGTCGTGGCTCATGATCCTTGCTACGCGCTGACCGAGCAGGTTGGTCTTGAGAAAAGTGAGGGTGGGAGTGAGGGTTGGAATGCAATCTGAGTGTGCTTGCACGGGTTGATGGAATGCAGACCTAAACGGTGTGTGGCCATCGCAAGTGTTGGTAGAGATACTCTGGGGTTGGGCGCTCCACGGACACTCTGCGGCTGGGCACTCCAGGGACACTGGGGTTGGGGGCTCCAGGAAGACTCTGGGGTTGGGTTAGGCACTCCAGGCAGACTCGGGGATTGGGGCACTCCAGCAGCCTGGGGATTGGGCACTCCAAGACGACCTTGGGCACCAGGCAGATTTGGGGTTGGGCAGCTGGACACTTTGGGGTCCCTCCAGGGAGATTCTGGGCTGGGCGCTCCTGTTTTGGGCTGGGCCTCTTGCCAACTTTTGCCCATCATTCCTGATCCGTGAGCCCCATGCCTGTTCGGCCAAGTTTGTCAGAGCTTCTGTCCTGCCACATCGAGTTCAAATACACAGCTTTGCAGAAGCGCATTGTCCGCCGCAGGAGCGGGTTCACGCGCCGCAAGGTCTGGCTCCGTGGTCAGTCGAGGGTTGTGAAAAACTGCGGTGATGTATGTGAAACATCACCACCAACTGACATCAGGCATATGAGATCTCAGCGAATTGAGAAGTCACGCAGGGCAAGTCTGTGTGCGCGAAGGTCCTTTTTCGCCCTTCCCAACATTCTGGCCAACCATCCAGGCAGGAGCCTGTCCATTCATAGGTGTACTCCAGTCCCAATCCCCAATCTCCCCAAAGTCCAGCTCGTCGGGTCACTGGTCCCCGAAGCCAGCCTTGATCATCCAATAATGATTGAATTCCAACCCTCACGCGCGGCCTCACTTTTCTCAAGACCAACCTGCTCGGTCAGCGCGTAGCAAGGACCATGAGCCACGAAGTTCGTAGCAGCAATGCTTGCAAGAAAATGCTAAGCACCGTAAGCCGCGCCCATATCCATATCTATGTTTGTGTCCCCCTTTGAAGGGGAGGGTGGGGATGTTCGACGTGATTTTTTTTGTCCGTCCGACGCTTGTGAACTACACGCTTGTGCTCGTTGCTTTTGCGTCCAACGCCACCATGACCGTTATCTCCACAACGCTCGGGTCTGGATGCTGCGGCCACTGCCAGCCATCCCACGGATTGACGAATATTTGCAGACAGCTTTTTTCACATTTACACTCAGTATACGTCATGGCAACTCGAATGCGTTCTGTGTCTTCTGCAGCCCTGTCCGGCCTGCCTCCTAGGTAAGCAGTAGCGTGTCGTGTTTCGAAGTTCGGGCTTCCATTACGAAAGTGCCAGGCAAATCTGAACCTGCTGCATTGCAGAACCCCAAGCCGTGCTCTCACCCTTCGTTTTGTTTGACTTGCTTAGGTATTGAGTTTGGCCCTCTTGTGCCTTGCGAGCCGGTAGCCCAGAGCCATGGCTCAGACGATCATCGCCCAATGCGCGAAGGTCGACGTTGCAGGCGCCGTGCGAGGAGCTTTTGTGCAGCTTCCTGATGCCCCCAAACCCCAATGCCTTTCATCTCCAGCGCCCTCCACTGCCCGACTTTCAGATTTTCGAACATTTTGAGTCTACAGACCTGCAGAGTTTGTCTAATAACACATCTTGTAAGTTGGTTTCGACCATGTTTGACCGAGCACGCTCCAAGCAGGTACCGGGACAGTGAAATCCGAGCTGCTCGAGAAGGTTGGGGGCGAATCTTGCAGGGGGGGGGGGGTGTCAACCGCCAAATTCGCCAGGATCTGTCAAGGTTAAGGTTAAAGCCAAGGCCGTATGGGACCGTCTCATTTGATCCAGAAGCCCGCTTATGTTCTGCTGAGCATCTGTTTTCTCTTTGTGATAATGTCCCAGATGTGTAAGAGGTGGTTGGAGGGAGAGGCCCTCCCCCCAGTAGACTGAGGCCCTCAAGACTGCTCTGCCAGACGCTTGGCACGACGACGAGATCGCCGCTGGGCTGGACTATTGTTGCTTTCAGGGGTTTTTTGGTTTTCAAGGTTTTCAGGCACATAGGACAGGATTATTGTCTCACGATTTAAGGAACAGATATGAGAACCGTTAGGGACTTCCGTATTCTTTGAAACTGTTTCCGCGATTTTGGGACAGATATGAAATGTCATATGAATGCAGGTTGGGAAGGGGTTTGAAGCCAGCAATGTCTCTCAGGTTTTTCAAGCCTTGACTTCAGACACATCCATGGGTCCACTAGTGCAAGAGCCTAAAGACGTCAACGCTGCAATAGACCTGTGCGCTCGTCAGCATTCTGCCCCCCCGGCTCGGAATTTGTTTGCGCTTCTCAGCTCTGAGCTCGCTGGGGGCTGGGGGGGCAAAGTAAGGTGGGACACGACTCTTGACTCTGTGACGACGGATCAAAATAGGGGAGGGGAGATGACGCGAAGGAGCCTCTTCTCCCACACGGCCACCACTATCCGAGGAGTCACTCTTGCACCCATGGGGGCCGCTGGTGGAGTACAAGGACCTCCACTCGCCACTGGCAGGGACCTGGTTTGGCGCGTTGCAGCCTGCTGACTTTAGGTTTCTTGCTTCCCCTTCTCCTTGGGGCCTCTCCACCTGGAGTGTCTCTTTGCGCATTTATGTGGAAACAGTTCTGGCTTTGTTCCAGGTTCTTAAGAGGCCTCAAAGAGACCTGTGCTCAGAGGACTTCGTTGCCTGGCTCTTTCGAGATCGGTCGCCTGTGCCTGGTCGCATTTACGGCAACCGAACTGCAGTGCATGTGCTTTTGCTCGCATTTTGGATGCTTTTTGAGTGAGGAGGTTTTGCAGGTCCGTTGGTTTGTGACTGGCTGAGCAAGCGGCCACTTTTATTCATCCTGGCCCCATCGTATATGTACATGTAGATGTAGATGATACTGTATACACACATGTGTTTTTTCCATGTATATATTGTCGGCTCAGGTCCACTCCCTGCGGAAGCGCAGCTCTTTCAAGGCTTGGTGCGGGGAGTCCGGGACGGCGTGTGTGCACAAGATGTTTCGGGCTCTTCCGCCTGTTTTCTGGGTAGAGAAGCAGGCTTGTAACCCCCCCCCAGAGCTCATAACACCGCTCCAGACGGGGAGGTTGCCATCTTCTCCTGCGCACCCTACGATCGCGAGTGGTTCGACCGAACCAACCAGGATACCCTGCCAATGGGCCCTCTCGGTGCCTTTGAACCTTCATGGGGATCTTTGGGGGACTTGCTTGGAGGCCCTCAAGGTTTCTCAGCGTGTCTTCCTTCACAGGGTCAACATCTAATCAGACCTTTGGATACTCTTTCTTGAGTTCCGGCGCGAAGCGCGAATAGGAACATCGGGCTCTGAGATTTCTTCTTGCTTTTGCTTGTTCCGTTAAGGTAGTGAATGGTATCTGCTCTGGTTTCATATTCTTCTTATTCAAGACCCTATCCGCACCCTCCAGAAACCTCTGCGCCTCAACTTCAACATGGGAGGAGCTCGGGTGCAACTTCGACTTCGACTATCACCCGGAGCAGCTCCTTGGGCGGCACAGAGGACGTCCTGGCCCAGAGAGGTTTGCGTAGGCTTGCCGTGGCTTCCATGACGCAGCAGTTTCGAGCTTTCCCTAGCACTCTACCAGAAAGAACAACCCTTCCCTTTTTTCACGCATTTGGAAGCATAGAGCTTCCGGAAAACAAACCCTTAGCCTGGAGAGCCTCAGGCTGAACATTGACACGGTGTCCCTTGCCAAGGGCTGCTCAGCGGTCTGCTGCTTGGGCTTCAAAACCTTGGGGGTAAAGCGGCAGAACGTACAATCTCCCTCGCCCTCTCTCCCGCTTTCTCTTTCTTTTTTAGCTCTTTGCTAGATGCATCTCTCTCTCTCTCACACACTCTCTCCCCGTGAGCTCTGTGGGGGACACCAGAGAATCGGCATCTTCTGTTCGAGGAAGCTTGATGTTGCCATGTTGCGAGCGGCGCTTCCCACTTCCAGGGTTGCCATTTTACCAAGAGCCCTAAACTTTAGGCCCTAACCCCCCCAAAACCCAAAACCCTTGACCCTTTGCATCCTTCTTGCCTCTTGTTGCACCGTTTCCCCTACCTCTTCCCCACCTGTCCGAGGCACCTTCGTGAATGACTTCGCAGGCGCTCCCCCGAAGTTCAGCGCCCGAAATTCTGTGATCATGCTCCGCTGACCTTCTCGCAGAATTCACAAGACACGCTGAATCCTTGAGCTGCGCAGCACAAACAAATCGCCATAGAACTTCCACGGGTTTTGCTCCGGCGCACTCTCTTTTATTCTTTGCCCTTTCCTCCACTCGTTGCCTCATTTGTTGCTGTCCATTCTTGCTTGGCCAGGGGAAGATGTCGTCAAGGCCTTAGCACAGGCGCGCGCGGAAGCCTTGAGTCCTTGAATCCTTAGAAGTCTCAAATATAGAAGTGAAACCCGGTAGCCTCTCCCCCACAGTGGAGAATTTGGGGGGAATGCTGGGATACTAACTATTCTATACTCTCTCTAATCTACTTTACTGAGAGCACTTCAACAAGCATGGCGAGGAGGGTGTGAAGCTCATTGCCCTCCGATGTGCCGGCTTCGACCGCGTGGATCTCCGGGCGGCAAAGGCGCGAGCCGGCCTTTTCGTCTTTCGAGTGAAGACATTGAAAAAATTGTATAAATGAACAATTAATTCAGTACTTAATTAATATTGAAATAATTACTTAAGAATTATGTAGTTGTAGAATGTTGGCGCTTGTGTCCCAGGATGCCGGGGTCACGGTGTCCCGTGTCCCTGCCTACAGCAACTCGCGGACAGTTGTGGTCTGAAGAGGAGATTGGCTTCCCATGGTTCTAAGGCTCTTATGGCTCTTGCAGTTGCCATAGGCCATAGGAGTGCTGAGGGAGGAGAGGGAACTGTGGGGGGGGGGGGGGCAGGGGCCGACGAATCTGCCCTTGTGTTGTTTCCTGGGCCGAGGCCCCTACGCTGTTGGGGAGCATGCGGTGGCGCTGTTGTTGTCACTGCCGCCCGGCTCTGCAACAGTCAACCCAAAGAAGGTCCCTGCCAGCCCTGCTGGGAGTTGCAAGGCCCCAAAACTGAGCAGGCCCCCCGAACCCTGAACTGCCCAAACCACCGACACCCTCGAACGCGCATGGCTACGCACTCGAAAAGCTCTCCAAACCCTTTGAAGGCCTCGAACTCAAGATCCCAGGAACCGGCGCATCCCCAATGCCTACCGCAACAGCCGCATGGGCAACTTCAAGCTGGACCGAACGCCACAGCAAGCCGAGCGCCCCTACTCCTCAACCCCAAAGCTCCCCAAACCCAGCGAGTCCGCGAGGACGGCCAGCTGGGCTGCGACCTTCACCGGAAGCGCGTTGGCATCATTGGCACCGGCTTGCCCCTTGCAGCAGTTTCTGAGACGGTGCTCAGGGCTTTGGGTTTTGGGGGGGCTTGTTTTTGGAATGAAGGTTGTGTGGGATGGGTCTGGTAGTCTTGTAGAAGAAGGTGTTGCGCAGATTCCGCCAGATCTCCTGTCCCCCCAGCTTTCAAGAATTGCCCAGTTCCACCGGAAGCCTCCGGTACCGGCCCCCAGCCCCCCCCTCCTCTCCTTTCGTCCCAAAGGTCGCTTCGGAGGCTCCCACGTTTTTTGGGAAGCCTTTCTCATGGCCCCTGGCTCTCCCAGAATCCTTCGAGCCGGTTTAGCAGCATCCTGCCTTCAGGATCGGAACCATCGCTGCAACGGTGTTGAAGAAGGGCTTTGAGTGCGATGTGGTCGCCTACGATGTCTTCCCGACACCTGGCAAAATCTGGCAAGATCTGCTTAAGGCTCTCACGATGAAATCGAAAACCTCAAAAGCCTCAAGCTCAAGGCCTGAAATCTGCGACCTGCAGAGTCCCCCCAAACGACCCAAGAATGAAGCCGAGCACCAATTCCGGGTCTAAGGGCGACACGTTCTTGGGGCCTTCTTATGGCATTCTTGAAACAACTCTTAAGAGGCTCAGGCTTGAGAGATTTCCAGCATAAGAGAGAGGGTTTGCCCGAGCCTGAGATTCTTTTTTGACAAGACTTTCTCTGGTTTCAGGAACCCGAAGATCAGCGACCCCGCTCCGGATGGTTTGGGCATTCCCTACCTGGACCTGGACACGGCCCTTGGGACCTGAAGCAAAGTTCCTGTTGAGATCGGGTGCTTGTAGTGAGAGGCTTCGATTCTTGGCGGACTAAGTGCCGGAGTGCCCGGCCACAGCGCTTGCCTTCTCGATTGTAATTCTTATGTGACTTATCCCGTGCGCTTTTCCCAATCCTTGCCCGATCTCGGCAAAGGTGCTATCCACCTGTGACTTTATCTCGCTCCACGCGCCGTGGCTTCATGAAGCATTTTCGGGCAGTTTCAGAGGAAGGGAGTATAGAGCTCGGGACATGAGTTGTTGGAACACATATTAGTTAGTGCCGAGTCCTGCCCCGGACCTTCAAGGGAGGTCTCAGCTTGAGGATGTCAGGGGCCTGAACAGCACGTACAAAAACGCGGAGCCATGGAAGCACAGGGCTTCTTTCCAGGAACAACCTGCGCACCTGTGGAGCATCTAGGAACTCATCTTCCAGTTTTGGAATATGCTGGGAACCACGGGAATAGTTTCCATGAGCCGAGGCACCATTGCTGCCTTCCACAAAGCACCTGATCAATGCTGAGAAGCTGAAGATCATGTGGCTGGGCAGCGCTCAAATCGGATGCTTCTGCACGCTGCCGAAAGTGATCCCCGAGCCATGTGGAACCCAAGTCGAAGGGGCATGAGTCATGAGAGAATTTTGAGCGCGCCCCGGGCGCCGCCCTGAAGCCTTCAGCGTCCCTCAACCTCTCGGGCCTCTCGGGTACCTTCCGCTCAGGAAGAAGGGCATGATGATTGTCAACACCTCGCGCGGTGGGCTCATTGACACCACGGCGCTCATCCAGGGCCTCAAGGCTTCCGAGAGAGCTGGGAAAGCGGCCCTCGAAATTTACGGGATTTTACGGGCTTCTTAGGCTCTGTGCCTCACCAGCCCTTCTTTTTCCTGCTTGTTTTCTTCATGCTTCGCTTTTTTTTTGTGGGGTTTGGGGGCACTGGCTCCTTTTTTGGTGTTCCTCTGTGGTTCCAGGATGGAACCATCGGGGGCGCGGCCATGGACGTGGTGGAAGGCGAAGCCCCCTACTTCTTCAGGCGGGAGCCCCCGCACTTCCAAGAAGGGAGACGCAGAGCTTTTTGGGACTCGAGTTTGTTCGGATGTGTCTTTTTGGGGGAATTGCAGCTGAGTTGTAGTGACTTTGTGGTTCTTCCTTGGGTCCTACCAGCACATGTCCCCCCGATGTGCTCGTATTGCCTCAAGGAGCCTCAAGCCGTAGCCCGGTCAACCCTTCAGGCCCCTGAGAATTTGGCCACAGTTCGCAGGGACTTCTCTACGGGATGCATTACCGATGACAACATCGCAACGCTGGTTCGCATGCCGAACGCGTCTTGGGCAAGAGCTTTTGGAGGTTCTTTTGCTGGGCGCAATCGGTGATTCTACATGCAGGGATTGGCTGGATACATTGTACGTGAACCCGAAAATCCCCAGCACAATGGTCACTGCCGTCCCGAACACAGCCCCTGACCCGGGCTCAGGTGATCTTGACTCCGCCCCCTGGCCGAGATGTCATGGGAGACTTTGGGAATTTAGCAGAGTGCGGATCTTGAAATTTGTGTGTTGCGGAAGAATCATGGAGGCTCAGACCCCCCAAAGCTCCCAAATTGGGTGTGCAGTTAATGGCGTGTAGAGGATGTATCGCTCTTTAAGGGTGGGTTGCGGTGGAGCTCAGTGTGATCAGCAGCCGAGGCACTTGGCATTTTTCACGGAGGAGGCATTGAAGCTGGGCGTTCTTCAGCAGGAGTGTGAAGTCTTGCAGCTCAAAGAATAGGTGTAGGATTTTGAGCGCTGTGGGGCTTTCCTCAGCCCCTTCTTGGCCCACGATTGGAACGAAGACCTTCCCAAACAAGACCCTCACTCCAGTGAAATCCAACATCATGTTCGGCGGCAAAACTTCGCAGCATCAAGACTTACCCGAGTACACTGCACGAGTTTCTGCGAAGCCCAATCTTTGCATCGACCCCGCTCTGGGAAAGCTGGGCCAGCCCAGGAAGACCATCTCCGATACCACCCTGAAGAGCATGCAGGGTGCTGCCCGGGTGATTTTTTTAGTGCTCACAGTTTGGGGGAGGAAGCTTGGAGATTTTGTGGTGCAGTATTGAAGCTCGCAGACGCGAAGCGCTTTTGATTTCTTTGTGGGTCTGCTGTTGCAACCTGCAGGTGTGCGGGAGGGCACGGGACCTCCAAAGCAGAATGGAGTGCTGGACACGGCTGCTCGGCCAGAACCGGACAGGATCCCTTTTGTGCTCCGGTATCCGCCTGTGGGAGGTGAGACGGGGTCTCATGGGGTACCTAATTCCGAACTTAGAGTGAACCTTGTCGGACATCTTGAGCTCGAGTCCCACAGGGTTTTACAGGGACCTACTAAGTTGCTCTTGCTTCCGCTGCGTTGCAAAAATGCTCTTCGGAAGTTCGGGTGTGGGGAGCCGGGGAGCCTCCTCATGCAGTGAAAAGCAGCAAGACGACGGAGTCCGCTGTGAGTGTGAGCGCTGGGTGGGCTGACCTTCTGATGCCAACAGGTCTGCTTGCCGCCGGAGGTGCCCAAGGCAGATGGGAAAGGCGCGCACTCTGCTGGGGAGCGCGAGGGAATGGCATGTGGGACCCTAAGCCCTAAGCCCTAAACCCTAAACCCTAAACTCTAAACCCTAAACCCTAAACCCTGCTTCAAGGAAGTCTTAGGGAGCTTTCGGGGAGCGTCTGCTCTGCAAGTCTCTCTGCGGGATCTTGGCTCCCCCCCAGCGTCCGCCAGGCCGCCACCAAGAGCGCAGCCAGCGAATGGCTTTCATGCCCCTGGGCTGAGAGGGGTATAAAAAATATGTATGTAACATATATATATATATATACATATACATACATATATATTTATACGTATATATATATATATATATATATATCTACACATATTGATAGTCTTTTTCCTAGGATTCATTCCCATAGAGTTGTGATTAGGACTGTAGCAAATGGTAATAATGGTGTAGCTCACGGGTCCATGTTGTAATATTTTGTACCTCACATTGTACTTCATCTTGTGGCCCATGTACAAGGGGAAAAACATCACCATCCTCTCCCTGAGCAGGAAGGAACTGCCCGCACCTGGCCCTGAGCTGAAGGACGGCTTTTGGAGAGGGGCCTTTCGGAAAGACGCTGCGCCTTTCTCTCTGTAAAGATCCCCTCCCCCCTTTGTGCGCGCCGTTGCGCTTGCAGGAGGTTCTGTCTGAGAGATGGGAGTGTTGGAAACGTTGAGCTGCCTGAACCATCCGGCAGAGACTTCTCCAATCCGGGTCTGAAACGCAGTGACAGTCACGCTGCAGGAGAAGGAGCTGCCGGCGCTGGAGAACACGCATACCCGACCATTTCGGGCGACTCGGCCCATGGGCAGGTTCCAACGATGCTCAAGGTCATCGCATGGGCTCCAGACCACAGTTTACAGGGCGGGCAAGTGTGGGGAGCAGAGATTTTGACAGCTCTGCATCTAGGCGCCAGTCGAACGCACTTCGTTCACGGACGACATGACAGACAGCGCATCTACCACAAAAGAATGCAGGTTCCGACGGTTGTTCCGTTGTTCTGTTCAGTTCTCGGTGTTTCTTGCTTGGAGCAGAAACAGGGGCCAATAAGGCGAGAATTCTTGGGGTATTGGTGGTTGGAGCAAACCACCGGGGTTCATACTCCGGTACTCCCCTTCAGAGGTCGCCTTCTACTCCGCAATGCCACACGACAAGGAGGTTTTCGAGAAGATGGCTGAGGAGGGACCTGGGAGTTGTTTTTTAGGGGACGGGATATAGATTTTCTCCCAAATTGGGAGTATCCCCTGTTATCATGCACCCAAAATACTCTCCCGCTTACGTATACGAACCCCCGAAAAAAACGGGGTACCCCTATTTTCGGAAATCCCCCCCAATTAGTGGAAGGGCGATGAACCAGACACCGTCCGGCCTAAAGCAACCGCGTCAACCTCGAAGTCGAAAGCTTCCTCTTCAGGAGTTTGACGCCAACATGTCCTTCCAGTTTTACAAGGCGCTGGCTTCGACTCTGTAGAAGAACAAGTCTAAGGAGTGCTTTTGCTGGTGGAAACAGGTTTGAGCCCTGCTTGAGGCGGCGCTGTGCCCTGAGACCGTCATGCACGCGAAGGGCACCGACGCAGCCGGGGCCTCCCAAAATGGGTGGGGAAATGAGGGGAGAGGTGTTTGAGGCAGGATGGAGCCCTCGAATCCCTTTGAATCCCTGAAGCGCCCACTCAAAGAGTTTGCACAGGCCCATCCAAGAATTGAGTGAGGCAGTTGGCTTTCCTTTTTCTTTTGAGCTCGTCCCACGTCCTCCGAGGTCTGCGTCTTCGTGCCTGGGCTTGGATCCTCTCAGTGGGACAGTGCCCGAAAGAGTCCCGAAGGGGAGCCCCGAAAGAACCGAAGAGATGACAAGAGCTCCGGTTTCCATTGCGGGGATTCGTGATTAGCCTTCAGGTGGTGTAGAAGATGTGTGTGTGTGTGTGTGTGCGTGGGTGGAGTGTGGAGGTTTTGTGTTTTGGAGGGGTGTCGCGTGCCTCGAAGTGGGTTCCTCGGTCTGGGTTGTGGCGCGCGTGACACGAGAAGAGTGGGCTAACTGTAGTTTGCTTCCTGGATCCCTCAAAGTCCGTTGAAAAGAAGCTCTGAAGCCCTCAGAGGCATTTCGTGTGTTGGGGGAAGAAAAGGTTCACGACGACTGCTCCGCGGGGATCCTGACCATGCTGAAGGAAGTCGAGACACCTGATAATTACGAGTAGAATTCCTTGATGGTTCCTTCCTAGTTTTACGAGAATACCCCCCAGCACCCTATTCTAATTTATTAAGGCCCTGAAAATCCCTTCGAAGCATGCTGGGGTTGCTTGGGGCTTGGGGCGGCTTGGGTTTTTAGGGGCTTTGATGAGTTTGCTTTTTTTCAGTCTCTTCTGCCCTAAACCTAAGCTCCGCTGCTCAAAGAATGCAGAGAGCCGGCCGAAGCATGTTCTCAAGCATGGTCTAGGCAGACAAAGACAACCCTGGACTGTGGCCTGGCCCTTCAAAACCCCGGTTTGGAGGAGTTCGGGGTGAAGATGGTGGCGCTGCGATGTGGAGGTTTCAACAACGTGGACGTGGACCGGGCCGCGAAACAGTTGTCGTGTTTTTTTTTTTTTTTTGTGGGGCTTCAGGGCGCGCCAAGGAGATGGAGCCTTTTTCTTAACCTGGCCTACAATGTGGACTTAAGCTTTGCAAAGCCTCCATAGTTCCTGATCCCATCTGATCCCGAATGCTGCACAAACACCAGGAGGGTTGCTTGATGTTTACGTGACTCCGATGCGCAGGAGAAGGCTGACGAACTCGGCCTCGTCATCACCAGGCCGAGAAAGCCGTTCAGAAAGCCAAAAGTCTTCAAAACAGTGTATCGTCCACATCCACATTTTATGTATATATAATGTTCGTGCTACATATTGAGAAATTCTTGCTTAGGCGTGTCACTGTTCTCTTCACGCATGTCGCGATGTAGCCTTAGCCCCTGAACCCTGAGCCATTGAAATCCTACAGCCATGGAACCCTAAAGCCATGGAACCCTAAACTCATGGAACCTGACACCCTAAAGCCCTAAACCTGCAAATGCCAAGCTGCCAGGGTTCCGGCCTACTCGGCCTTCGGATCTGGTGAGCACGCCGTGGCGCTGGCGACCTCGGTGAACCGAAGCATCCCGCAGGAGCTTTCTTTTTTCTTTTCTATTATTCGTGGGGGGTTGATTTGTTTTCTCAGCAGGTGCTGCAAGTGCCTTTCAGTGCCCCTTTTCAGAGCTTCTTCCGGAGGGGATGTGGCTGCAATGGATGTAAGTGCTCCTCCACTTTGGCTGGGGATGTTGGGGCTTGTCTTGGCGACGTGGTGTCACGAGGGGAGTTCTCGAGCCGGCGCCCTAAAACTGTGCGCCAGGCCGCCGAGGGCACCCGACGTGGGAACTTTACACTGACTGGCCTCCAGGGCTTTGACATGGTGGGCAAGAAGGCCACATGCGTCCCATTGCGTATTCAACCATCGCATAAATAGAACGAACCAATGAATACAGAGATAAAATAAATACAAATAAATACAGACAAATAAATAAATATAGAAATACATAAGTGTAAATATACATATATAAATATACATATACATAATATATATATATATACACATATATATATATTTATAATATACACATACTTGTTTTATTTTTTATTTTTATTTTTTTCTCTCTCTCTCTCTCTCTCCTTCTCTCGCTCGCTCGCCCTGCAAAGGTCGGCATCATAGGCACTGGCCGCACAGGGTGCGTGGCTGCCCGGATATTCAAGAATGGTTCCTTGGCTAAAGGTGCAAGGTACAGCCGCTGGACTGCTAGGTGAAGGTGAAGCCGCTCATGTCACCCAGGGGTTGTCCTGATACGTCCTTTTTTCTTGTCCTGTGCGCGTTATGGTTGGTGGAAGATGAGTTGTGTTGAGCATTGCTTTGTGCAGTCTCCGCCCCTTTCAGGATACCGCTGTGATGTCATCGCCCATGACATCGAGGAGATGCCCGGCGTGCAAGCGGAGTCACACGGGGTCGGAGGGGGTTTGACTAGTAATTCCCAATGTGCTCTGACTAGGATCCCCGAGACTAAGAATTTACAGCCCCCTTGATCCCCTCAGCTCAAGCTCCCCGAGTTCTGTGAACCCAAGGAATGAGTTGATCAAGGAACCGCCGCCAACGGGCTTGGGCATTCCGTATGTGTGGCTCGGATCAATGGTTCCATGTTCAACCGCTCAGTTGCTCAGGGAGTTCAGCCTGCAGCACACCGATTCCATGGGCCGCCATAGCCCTGTGCAACTGAAGCCCCCGGCAAAAAAGCCGTACGATGCTGCAGGAGAGGCGGTCTCGAGAGGGTTAAGGCACGGGTGAGTGGAAAAAACAATCTCGATGACAATTCCGAACATCATGGTTGCCCCAGTGCTGCCCTGTTTGAGGATCCTCCTCACGTCTTGGGTGCTTGAGGTCGTTGGATGAGCTTTTTCGCACGAGCGACATCATCTGCCTTCATGTGCCGCTGCTGCGCGAGACAGTGTCCCGGCATTACTCCCCACTGAGTGCCCCTGAATCGATCTCCGAGAAAAGCTTTTGTCAATATGCTTGAGGCAAGGCCTGAGATGAGCATTCCTCAGAGTCCTTGAAGCCCTCAACAAGGGGCCCTCACGTGCCCTGGGCCTTTGAAGCCCTAGACAGGGGGGCGCCCCCTCTCTCTGTGTCACAAATATTAGGCCAAGCTCATCAATGCCGAAGCCATCGCCAAGATGAAGCGAGGCTCCTCGCGGCAAAAGCTTACCGGGCTTATTTGGGGGGTGGGTACTTTAAGAATTTGGGGCCTGGGGTTGCTCTTGGTGTTTCGGGCTTAAGGCGCCTCCGCGGAGAGTCCTGCAGCCTTTTCCTTTGTCTCTTGGTGCTTGTAAGGGAAGGAATTGGGAGAATTGTATCTTAAAAAAATGTGGCTTCTCCGCTCGTCCCCTACAGACCAGTTTTTCCTGGCAATGTCGCTTTTCTGGTGTGCCGTCTTGGAAAGGCTTGGTTTGCATCCTCCACAAACTCTGAGGCTGCCAAAGCTCCGTACCCTAAGAACCAGAGGAGTATTAACGATAGCAGTAGCAGTAGCAGTAGCAGTAACAGCAACAGTAACAGCAGCACCAATGACAGAAAAGCCTGAGCAAGCGAGCCCTCCAGGTGTCCTGCTCGTGAATGTGTCCCGGGGTGGGCTGATCGACACGAAGGCTTTGATCGACGGGCTTCGTCAAGGCAGGGGAGGGCAGAGAGGGGCTGTCCGGTTCAAGGGCTATTTCCCTCGGCAGTCGTCCTCTCCGGGGGCGGCCTCACAGAATCGCCTCCAAAACCGGCCACCAAGTGCACACATCTCTGTGTTTTACCCGGTTTTTTTGCCCGGCCTACACCCCGTTGGAGGCCTCCGGGCATGAACGGCTGTCGGCCGTCGATGTGAGCTTGTCAGCTGTTAAGAGCAGAGCTCTGCCCCAGGCATCATTGGTGGAGCAGGCCTTGATGTGGTGGCCGAGGACGGAATTTGGGAGAGGCTTTTCTAAGGGAGATTTGAGGGGTGAGAGGTTCAGGAAGCGATGGAGCCCAGGGCGTCAAGAAGATAGGAGAGGCTTTGGAGGGTGTTCTGATGTTGAGCCTCCATTTTTGGGGGCATTGTAGGAGACCTCGATTCAAGGGCGATCTCTCTGGTCCTTTGTTTTTGTTGCCGCCAACACAGGAGGGTGAGTACTTCCATCGAGATTGGAGCCGGGACGTGGCCTCTTGTCTTCAGCTTGGACATCGGTAAATCAGTGGACTCGGCAGCTGTTGCTCGTCCATACGGATCATCCTGGAAAAGTGGTTCACAAAAGTGCGACCGAGTGCCCGAGTCAGAATGAGTCATGTATCACCTGTTTGACCCCAATCCATCAAGCGATCCAAGCCTCAAAACATGCGCGCTTGCGTGCGTGATGTGTGGGCAATGCCGAAGCTGTAGCTAGGAAAACGCGCTCCCCCCTTTCCCGGGTCCACGCCCCGCCTGGGCGAGAGCGTGATCCCGTGCGCTTCTGCAGATACAAAGCAACGAGCTGATGACGCTCATCGGATTCAACCAAGTCGTGGTGACTTCGCACCAGGCCCTGCAGCGAAAATGCTCTCTAGGTCTCTAGGTTTGGGGAACATGTTGACATGTTGAAGCGCAGTCTGCAGCTTGGAGGCATCGGAATTCTAGCTGTGGCAAGATGAGGGGGAAATTTTTTGCGTCAGGCAGAGAGCTTTTGCTCCTTTTGGCCGCCAGGCGTGGTTCACGAAGGAAGCCCTGCGGAGTATCATCCACACGACGCTCTCCAACCTCAATGCCGCGAGGAGGGATCCCATGGGATGGTGGTAGGTATATGTACATGGACCTATAGACATGTAAGCCAATGCAATTATACACAATGCATACATGCATCTGTTGTGTGGTTACAGTTGCGGAGATGCTTTAGCCAGTCAAGAGAGAAACCCAGAACCCCCCCCCCCTCCCTGCCCCTTTCTCAAACAAAGCACAGCCCGATCTGCCTGGCTGTGTCCTTGAGAAGGAACGGCGCGAAAGCCCCTTGGCAGCGCGGGAAATACGACACCGTGGTGAGCCCGAGCTGCAAAGTGTTGCGAAAGACCCACTCAGGCCGAAAAGCCCTTTTTTGGGCCTCGTAAGAACCCTTAAAATGCCTTACAGCTGAGGTGTTTAACAGGGGTGTTTCTCAAGGCCCAGCCCAAACCGAAGTGTCTTTGTTGTTCTGCCGAGGAACACGGAGTGCCTCTCGCCCCGGAAGCGGAGGCACTGAGGCGCGCAAAGGGCTGCCTCTTCGATTCGAGCAGGAAATCCCACTCTGCACTCCGCGACGTTTTCCCAATGAGTCAGAAGATTTCAGAAGCAACCCATCTGAAGCGAGTTTCACGAGTTTCACGAGATCAGATCCGGGGGCCAGGTCAATGCGCAAGGGGCGAATTCGAGGAAGGCGCCTGGGCCCGCATTGCCTGCACCTCGAAGTCGGGGCTCTGACAGAAGCATCCTAAGCTCCCTCAGGGCTCAGAGCCCTTCTCATCGGAGGTCCGAGGCATGCGAGGGTGCCTATTTTTCCCGGATGCTGCGTGTGTCCGCTTTCGGCATCATCGTTGCAGCTCCGCCGCAGGAAGGATCTCCAAGGCAGGAGGGTTTTCGACAGACTTCGGATGTTGATGAGCGTCTCTTACATTCAAAAGTTCAGCTGAGACTTTGTGAATCTTGGCTCCCTGAATGCTGGAGCACCGAAGTCAATGATCTGAAGGGCCCTAAACACTAGTCCCAAGCACAAATATAACCGCAATGACCGCTAACCAGCCAAAAGCTCGGTGGGGTTTGCGCCACACAAGTAGGGGTAGGCTCCAAGCAGAAGAAGCAGAAGCAGGGGACAAGGAGACCAGACAAAAGGAGAAGAAGCAGAAGAAGAGGGAGAAGAGGGAGAAGAAGAGGGAGAAGCGGAGGAAGAAGAAGAAGACGAAGAAGAGGAAGAAGAGGAGGGGAGCAGCCTGAGCTCACAGGTATTTCGCGTGACTTCCGGCAACCGCTGAAGCCACCGTTGTTCTTTGCTGAGACGCGGTATGCTGCGCTAAACATAGCGGCTTATGGTGTCTCAAGCTTTCAAGTTCTCGGGCTCTGGGAGTGTGGTTCCGGGGTCCCTCCAAGAGGGCCCTTCGGAATCTTTCAAGATCTTTCAGCGTTCACCCCGTACCCCGTTTCGGCTCGTTCCGAGTGTCGGGGTCTGGTCGGCCAGGCCCTCTTCGCAGGCTCTCAAGCCAGTCAGAGAGGCTGGGAAGGGAGCTTGTGTAGAAACAGCGGGGGGCGTGCGCCCGGTGTTTTGTTTTTGCTATGCCCACCTGTACCCGCTATGTACACCTTGTGCAGCCTGCTTCGTGCAGTTGTCTTCGAGGATTGTCCAGACTTTCAATGGAAAATCTGGTCCGTCGAGGGCTGCCCGCAGGACACCTTGCGCTGCGGCGCTGCTCAGCATTTCCGAGGCAAGCGCTCCTCAGCGCCCTGCAGGATCCGGAGTTTATAGGGGCTTCCCCGGCGAATACCCCGGAACTTGCCTCCGGAGGGCACTGTAGCGTGCCCTCTTTGCAGATGGACGGCCGACTCAGCTTGGCTCTCTGGTCTGCCCCCCGTTTCGGACTTAAAGACAGACCCTTTTTCCCTGCCAGCGGGAAAACAAAGGGGAAACAGAGAAGGTGAGAAGGGTGTGGCAACGTGATGCAGCATGTAAGTAGCCGCAAGTTGCAGCTGTGCCCTACTCCGACTTGGCTTCCTCGATGTTGTTGAGTGCTGCTTGGCAATGCTTTTCAGTGCTGACTTCTGCTGCCTTTGGCCGTTGCAAGAGGTCCTGTGGTGTTTCCAAACTTTATGACCGTGCTAGAGTTGCAACCCTGCTTGCACTGCGGAAAGGACAAGCGCAAAAACATCCTACATTTTTCCAAAGGTTTGCACTTCCAGAACACTGTAGAAGTAAAGGCATATCTCTTGGAGGTGAGTCGTATGTCCCCTCTCTTCGTGTTCGTAGGGCTTGGTGAGGCCCTTCGAAGTTTGTCGCATGTCCCCTCCCTTCGTGCTCGTGAATGAGGGCTTTTAGAGGTTAGGCCTGAAAGTCCTAGAATCATAACGTGCTTGATGTTGAGTGCTGCTTGGCAATGTTCAGCGGTTCCGTCGCGGCGTTTCTGCAGGAGTATGGGTCTTGCTTTCGATGTGTAGAGCGCTTTCCGCTGCCTGGCCCAAGCTTAGAGCTGGTCCTTTTCCACCCCAGTTTCAATTTCTTGGGAGTGGTCCCACGCGGTGGCCTTCAGCAGCTGGGCAGAGCAGAATGACTCGGAGAAATTCGGAGGGGTCGAGGTTTGGAGGTCGAGAGTTGGCGGTCAACATATTTGTGTCCCTGCCATTGTTCTTCAACAGCTCAACAACTTGGCAATGACGTTTCGAAATAAGCTCTCCAAGTAAACACGATGATGCCACCGCTACACGTCTCAGATCGGAACGTGCAGCTGCTTTCCCTTTCATCCGATCCCATGCCAAGCCAGGATATGTCCCGCGAGGAGTCAAACGAGGCCGTGGCTATGGATTTGTTCAGACCGACGGTTGAGATCGTTGGGTTGCTTCTTTCGGCTTTCGAAGCTTTCGTAGCAGGGTTTGGAGATCTCTGTTTAGGGTTTGGGGTCTACAGCCGTCAAGGGCTGCGGTTCCACGAAAACACATGTCCCATCTAGCAATCGTCCGCTTACAGGTCGGCACATAGCAATCGTCCGCTTACAGGTCGGCACAAGTCTTGTGCTCGAGCCCTTGATTGGCGATAAGTCTCGGACCAAGCACCGGCTAGCTTCCGAGACTTTCCCGCAGTCATTCTGAGGCGACGTACTCATAGCACCTCAGCATAGAAGAATCCTGAACAGTGCTTGCAAAGGGCTCTACTGACTTCGCTGGCTGTCGCAGAACTGTATCATGGCAGATGGCAATCAAGCATCTATAGGGCAAACCCTCCGCGTCTGCCTCCTGCCTGCATCTACGAAGCTTTCCTGTCTGTACAGGCTGGACACAAGTTTGTGGATGCCCGGGCCTTGACGTCCTGCAAGTTTTTTGCCGCAATGTAGGCAACGAGCTCTCCCAAGGCATCCCTCAAGAGCCTGCACAAGAGCCTGCACATGTCAGGGGCATCTATGAGCAGTACTCTTACTCTCCACAGGTATTAAGTTACTACATGGGCTTGCCATCCTCTCGAAACAAGGCCTTTCGCGATGCAATACCCCCGCAGTCTCAAACGAGGAGAAGCTGCGTCAACACCCAAGCATCCCAAGATCACACGCCCTGAAAACGTAGAACGTTTGAAGCCGTGAGGATCCAAACAACCCAAACAATCCGAACCTCAAACCCGGCGAAGATGATCCCTGAGGCCTACGTTGCCGTGATCAAGGCCAAGGGTCTCGTCGAACCCTAAGCTGCCTCAATGCTTGTAGGCCGCTTGTAGGCAAAGCTTGTGTTGTGTATGTTGTGTGTCACGGTTTGTGTGTGGGTTTCGGGCGCAAGGTTTTCAAACAGCTTCAGGACGCCTCAGGGACAGGCCTTTCGTGCGCTGCCAAGGAAGAGCAGCTGCGAAACATGGTGCACCGGAAGAAGGAGCACTGGCAGGCCGGTCCTCCCCGTAGCCCCGAGCCCCAGAATGAAGGCCAAGTGATGAAAAACCTGCCTGAGTTTAGCGCAATCTAAACGCGCTTCTTGCTTCTTCTGGCCAGATTGCACGGGGCATCGCGGACTGCACCGACGTCGATGCGCCTTGGCCATCATTGCCCATAGCCGAAAGCATCCCTGCTGGGATGACATTGGGAGGAATTCGGGTGTGGGATGATGTTAGGAGCCCTGCTCGTGAAAAGCGAAAAACTCGCTAGTTTCTGGAGTCTTCGTGTCCGGGCTGTCGGGCACCCTTGGTAGTCTAGCGTAGCTGTAGCCTTTGGAAAGGGACCAGCATGCCATCGGCCTGGAGATTTGCAACGAGGCCTTGAATCTAATGAAGGGGAGGGGATTGTCTTAACCTTCAGTGGGAGGGAAAGACCTGCAAGACTCGACGTTTCAACGTCTGGAGTTGCAGGTTTGCCCCCGCCGGACTGCGATGTTGTACTTGGGAAGGTCCCCCCCCCTCATGTCGCGTAGCACAAGAGGGGGATAAGCATGCTGCAACTTCTTGCGGTCGGTGTGTTGCTTGTACTGAAGGTGTACAGGATGGTGTGGCTGAGGAAGGGACTGACACGTGTCTTCAATGATTCACGACATGAGATTCGATTCCGTCGTGTGATGCTGCTATGCTGCCTGTCCGAATGACAGCTGCAAGTGTTAGAAAACGATCTCGCTGCAGAAAGTCCAGTCAGCTGGTGGCAGTGAGTCTGCCTGGAACCTGATCGTTTTCTCATCGCTTGCTCATCATGGCGCATCGCGGCACCGCGCCTCACAGCCACAACGCGGCAACAGCTTAGCCCTCGTGCTTTTGCACCTGCCACAACTTGCCCAGCGCAGTGACTACATCACCACATGCCACGCACGCTCCGGGATAGCGAGAAGTAGGCCAACTTGCTCAACTGAACCCATCCGCAAAGAATGGGATGGTGCCTTGAGCAGAAGGTTGTTGACTCAGCTGCCAGCCGCGGGGTCTGAAAGATTGAATTTGGGTTCCTTCCTGCTGACGGTCCGAGCGTGGCGCATGAAACGAAAAGAGGTCAAACCAACTTACTGCCGTTCGAGAGAAGCCATTGTCAAAAGGTGCACCTGGCAATGAACACCCTGAAGCTGGTCGGGTGGGATGTGACCTGGCCGGATGAAAGGGATAGTTCTTGAGC